ATAGAGGAATATGGGTATACTTGGGCCAAGGATCCTTGGTAGTGATGTGGACACATCTTGTCCATACATCACACCTAGAAGATGGAGCCTCACCAACTCCAAGGTGTGATGTATGGACAAGATGTGTCCACATCACTACCAAGGATCCTTGGCCCAAGTATACCCATATTCCTCATATATATATATATTATTTATTTGACGATACACAACCATCCATCAATATCTAGAAGGACAAATTTTCAAAACCGACCACTTTGGGATTTTAATTGCAAAAAACGACCCATTTCAATCTTATTTATAAAAACCGACCCAGTTGGTTGAAACTGGGTCGGTTTTTGAAATTTTTTCTTCCAAACTTCACGGGAGTTCAACTCCCGTGAAGTTTTGTTATGAGAAAAACTTCACGGGAGTTCAACTCCCGTGAAGTTTCCCAAAAAAAATTACAAAAACCGACCTGTTTTCAGCCCCTGGCTGAAAACAGGTCGGTTTTTGTAAATATTTTCAAAACCGGTCGTTTTTTGCAATTAAAAACCCAAAAGGGTCGGTTTTGAAAATTTGTCCATATCTAGAAGAGTTGTCTTGACTATTTTTTGTGGGTTAATTTAACAAAACCCCCTGGACTTTGGGGGTATTGTACATAAGCCCATTGAAGTTTTTTTTTATCTCATATCATTCACCTAATCTTTTCCTTCTCACAGCCCAATCCCCTCCTGCCGGAAAAACGTCGAATGTGGAATTTTACTTTCTCAACGGATCCTGCTAGGGGTGTGCAATGGTCGGTTCGGTTTAGTTTTTACCAAAATTTAAACAACCGAACCGGCTATAATTCAAAACCGAACAGGCTATAATTCAAAACCGAACCGAACTGTTGCAAGTCGGTTCGGTGCGGTTCGGTTCGGTTTTTTCGGTTCTAATTTCATCAAACTTCTTATCAAACAACAAATCGTGTTAAAGAAAAAAAAAGATATCAACAAAGTAGAAGATTGTGAAGTATTAAACATCGATATAATGATATTGTTTTTAACCCATAATGATTCAGAAAATGAGTTTAGGGTTTGAGTCTTTGACTCTTTGGGGACGGGTCGGGTAGGGCTTGAGATCAGAATGAGTAGTATTGCACTATATTCGGTCGGGTCGGGTTGAAAAGTTTTCAAACCGACCCGAACCGCCCTACTCATAAAACCGATTTTTTCAAATCGGTTCGGGTCGGTTCTGCGATATAATGATATTGTTTTTAACCCATAATGATTCAGAAAATGAGTTTAGGGTTTGAGTCTTTGACTCTTTGGGGACGGGTCGGGTAGGGCTTGAGATCAGAATGAGTAGTATTGCACTATATTCGGTCGGGTCAGGTCGGGTCGGGTTGAAAAGTTTTCAAACCGACCCGAACCGCCCTACTCATAAAATCGATTTTTTCAAATCGGTTCGGGTCGGTTCTGCGATATAATGATATTGTTTTTAACCCATAATGATTCAGAAAATGAGTTTAGGGTTTGAGTCTTTGACTCTTTGGGGACGGGTCGGGTAGGGCTTGAGATCAGAATGAGTAGTATTGCACTATATTCGGTCGGGTCAGGTCGGGTCGGGTTGAAAAGTTTTCAAACCGACCCGAACCGCCCTACTCATAAAATCGATTTTTTCAAATCGGTTCGGGTCGGTTCGGTCGATTTTTTTGGTTTGGACCGAACCATGCTCAGCCCTAGATCCTGCTACATATAATTTGTAAATAACTAAACTCTCCTCGAGAGAGAAAAAAACCTAAAATTCAGAGTAAGATAGAGATATGTTTCCTACAAATGACAATTGATAAAGTTTTGAAATTTTTTTAATCTCTAGGACACTTTTAATATTTAATTACTTGTAAAATACAAACAAAGGAATTATGTGAGACATGATTACAGTTCAGATGCGTTATGTGAGATGCTCCGAAGTTCAATGAGGTAACGTGAGATAAACAAACTTTTAAGTGTGTTATGCGCAGCACCCCCAAAATTTTTTTTGGGTCCTCCTTCTTTTGGGGGTTGGCGTTGCTTTTTTGTTGGGCGAGGCCGGGAGCGGCGAACTTTTTAATTATAATTTCACGAATCACGGATCATACTATATACTCTCACGCTGACAATAGCTAATGGGCTAATAAAAGTACAGGGATCCGAGATTTGAGTTCTTCTCGTTGTCGTCACCGGCAGGTGAGACGAACCGAGCAGGACCCAGAAAACCAAGCAGATTATTTCCAAAAGCCTCCGCCGTGTAACCCCGATCCATTCCCAAAGATACAATCCTAGGCCCATCAACTGGGCCCCAGGCCGAAAACCCAATGTCCATACCCAAGTCAAAGCCCGAGGCAGAATCCTATGGAACTTGTCGGCGCGTTAGGAATTGATTTTAGCCCTTCGATTTGCACTTAAGGGCTAATCCCCATCGTTGGATTTCTCATATGCTTATATTTGTCTCACGACCAACCATTAAACAATATAATGTGTTACTTTTTTTTTTAAAGATAGCAATTTGATCATGCAAGACACGTATGTGGAAATCCAAGAAATGTCCTTGCCCCTTATTATACTTTAGAGCTCATCAAAAAAGTTAAAACTTGGGAAAATTCCGAAAAAAATATTGGTTTTCACCCCCCACATTCCTTATTTCAGTTCTTCACCTAATGCGTCATGTGCGTGTAGAATACTAATTTTATTATTACTAGTAGTCTCATTGCTGTGTCCGTAAAGAAAAATTCTTTGGGAACCCCAAATTATGGGACCCAAGAGGAGACATGTGAGGTGTCAACCCCTGGGGGCATAATCTACTGTTCATAAACAGTAGATCATGCCCCCAAGGGTTGACACCTCACCCATCCCCCCGGGTCCTATGATTTGGGGTCCCTGTAGAACAATTCGTCCGTAAATGATCTAATCATCTTTGGGAGGCCCAAAAGGAGAACTTTCAGAGTAATAAATGTGAAAAGGATCGAAAGATTAATTTTATGCTACTATGCAAAAAAAAATGTAGGAGAAGAAAAATAATAGGTCAAATTCATTGTGTTCGTGCTGGTCTAGAAATCCAGAAAAAAAAAACCCTTGATTAGTAACTACTCTTATTTGTCATGAAAAGCGTCTTATTTCTTGAATCTGAACTATCAGCTGATCCGGCCCCTTGAATATATTCTGTTAAAAATCAATCTCTACTAAGATTTTTTTTTTTTTTGCAAATTCTTGTAGGTATATGTGCTATTATTAGTTTACCCACAGACAAAGAATACATACGGAAAAAAAAAATGAAAAGAGAAAAACACGAATGTAATATGACCAGCCCCTAACCACAAGTTAAAAAAAAAAAAAGAAAAATCCCTTACGCGATCTATTTCCTGTCACGTGCAATCTCACGTGCTAAAGATTCCAGCTAAGAACAAACTAGGAGCTCCAACAACTCTCTACCCCTCTCCCATTTCCTTCTTAAGCACGCCTCAATAAATAGAGTCGCATACCATATCGATCCTCCTCCTATTTCAACTCCTCAGAATCAAAACATCCGCAACCCGCTTCCATGTCCGTCTCCCCAGAATACGCCCGGGCTCCGCCCCGCGTCGTCCTCCGCCCAACCGCCGCCGGCGTTCTCGAGGTTCGAGACGAAGATGATGACCGCCAAAGGTTAATTATACCGCGGGAGGAGGAGGACTACCACTACGCGGACTGCTGCAAGACCCCGACGATGAAGGAGTTCAGACTGCCGGAAGTCGCCGCCAGCTGCCCCCCTGCGCCGAGAAGCGGGCCCGGGCGGTGAGGTGCAAGAGGAGGCTGTCGGAGCTGGAGTTCCTCGTTGTTAGGCAGGAGGAGATGGAGGGCTTGTTTACGAGGAGAGGGGACGGGATCGTGTCACTGAAGAAGCAGAAGCAGAAGCAGAAGAAGAGAAACGTCAGTTAGCGGAGGACTTGATTAATCAGTATATTAATTAAGATTGTAATATGTATACGTATGGTCTAGTTAGAATGTAATACGTGTATATTTCTATTCGAGAGGACATCATTAATCACGCGGTTAGCTAGTGTTGTTGATTCTTTTTAAATTTATATAGTTTGAATTTATTTTTATTTTATCTGTTAATTTGATTATCAGTGATTGTGTGCTACCTGTGAGTTGGTCTTCTAATTAGGGATGAGGATCGTTTTGCTGCTTTGAACGCAGACTTGTCGACGTTAATGACATTGCGTTCCCAACACGCCTCTGCGGTTTTTTTTTTTTTTTTGGTTTGGGGGTTTCCGTGTTTCGTATTGCTTCTTTGACATTGACCAAATGTAATAATAATAATATAATATTATTATTTACAACTAAGCTTTGAATTCCGCTTGTCCCGCATTTCTTCTTTCTTCGCCTATTTGGTGATATATTATGTGAGGGGGAAAAAAGAGAGGTAAGTTCTTTCGGCCCACGCTTTCGTTGATCGGGGAAATCATTTTTCTCAAGTTTGGACTAGTTTTACTTCGCAATTCAGAAGGTTGAGTGAAGAAGCTGAAAAATATAAAAAAGGAGGTAAAGATTATGCCTATAATTGTCGGTCGTAGACGGTGGTGTTTGTGGTCACACCTAGTAATTCCTGACATTTTCACATGGACAAATAGGGAGAGAGTTGCAAAATCAAGGTTAGGTATGACACTTGAAAGTGAGAAGGATGTTTATACGTCAACGTATAAGAAGGGTTTTTTTTTTTCACCTTGCAGATATTGAAATTTTTTACTAATAAAATTGGTTTCAGTTAAGATTCTTGATTACTGGAATTTACAAGCGGTTTCAGTTAAGATTCTTGATAACTAGAATTTATTAAGGTGATGGTTTTCAAATCTGTTAGTTCTTTGGAAAATAAAAACAGAAAGTCACATGAAAACAAAGCTTTTAAATTAGTTCGAGTGTATTCATACTTCCACGAACTCAGATGCTAAGGAAACCTCATTGGAGTTTATCATGTAACCAAAATTACAATAATACAGACTGAAATGACAGCAATACCAAATATCTTGGAAAATAAAAATAAAATTTCGCACTGGAAACAGAACTTAAAAGGGCAACTGCGCACAGAATACTGCTGTGATCCCCCTTTCTATTGTCATTGAAAATATGGCCTGTTATTTTCTTCATTTACAACTGTGTAAAAAGTTACATCTCTGGTTAGCAGTAACATTCGTATTTTGAGAATAACTGCTCAAATTTCTCAGTCACAAAGAATATCTACTGTCTCTAAGCAAAACTTCTTCTGTAGAATCCTCAGACTGAATCTCGAAAAAAAAAAAACAATGTAAAAATGAGAGGGAAAACAAAAACAAGGAATTCGTCCTTCTGGCCAGCCCAGCGCTTTATGTCTTTCCTCTTCTCCTTGGGAGAATGAATCATGAGGGGAAAAAAATATATTCACACAATATCATCATATATCTGTATGAACTGCAGCTCAAGCTGCAGCACCGGCTTCGAGCCAAAGGGGTGATAGTGCAACCATCTTGAAGGGATTCTCTACTTACTATCCTAAAGATTTCTGTTTGTATCCAAACTTATGCCTATCCAATAGCTTGGCCTTGTTCAATCTCTTCTTATCCATTTTCCGCCTATATTTTTCCTCCCTCTCCTTATCGAAGACCCCTGACCAATGTACTTCTCCAGTTAAAGGCCAAAGCCATCTATCTGTTGGATGTATGCCATCATCTGCTTCTTCGGCTAAATCCTCATCCATACTCTTCATCAATGTGAAGTCAAAGTACTTAACCCACATTTTCCCGATGCGCTGATCTATAGGGTGCTGTTCTTGCATTTGCCCACTAACTGGATCAATGTAAACTAGTCTTCTGGCGCTGTGATAAGCCCATACATTCACCAAGAGTTCGAGTACTCGGCAATAGCAGTGCTTGTTCTGTTATGGCATTTATCAAGGAAAAAGGAATGTTTATCATATTTACTGGAAAACTATCTCCAAATTATCAAACTTAAAAAAAATTCAGCCTAACAAAGTAGACGATTTTTTGATTTGGGGCATATTGTTTCACCAAAGTAGATGATTTTGTGGATAGTTTTGCAAATATGCATGAGTTAAGGGGTAAAT